TTATTAACATACAGTTTATTTTCAAAATGTAAAAGAATCTACAGAAATAAATATCTTTTTGGTCAACACCTGTTTTCAAACTGATGACTTTTCTGATCCAGGCACTGCTGATAACTCAAAGCAATGGAAAAAAAAAAACATCAGGAGTCATTTTACTGGGTATTTGGTATTTGTATGCTCTCAATTCATCAACTGTTGCTAGTTTTGTACAATAAACTTGTTTTTTCTTTTTCTTTTACTTTTTAAATTTATATTTATTGTTGAAAGTATTACAGATGTCCCCTTATTCCCCCCATTGACCCCTTCCTCCCCACTCCCCCCCCCTCCCCAGGCCTTCACCACACTATATTGTCTGTGTCCATGGCTTATGTAAACAGGTTCTTTGGTTAATCTTTCCTCCACCCTTCCCTCTGAGAATCTTCAGTCTGCTGCATGCTTTCATGTTGCTGGATCTATTTTTTTGTCAGTTTCATTTGTTCAATAAATTCAACATATCAGTGACATTATGTGATATTTGTCTTTCTCTGACTGTCTTATTTCACTTAGCATAATACTCTCCAGGTCCTTCCATATTGTCTCAAAAGGTAAGAAATGTAGTGGATAAATGTTCAAAGCTTAGTCTGGCTTCACCCATTATTTCAAATCAGCTAAACTTGAAAAGGAGTAAAAATTAATTGAGCTATCAGCTGTTAAAGTGTGTATACATGTTTTAGGGATACCCCATATATATAACTATATATAATAACTATAAATATTTTAGATAGTAGAGTAGTTTGATACACATCTAAAAAAGAAACTAAGATGTACTCCCTTTTTATTTGCCTTTGAAGCAGTATCTTAAAATATTATTTATAAAGATTGTAAGGGGGCACATTTATCCCTCATATATTTGTATTTTATGTAAATTGGAACAATACTAAAAAAGACTTTTAAAAATTCACATGGGCTTTGGCAGACTGCCACGGTTCCTAGTCTGAATTCAAATTAGTACATTGTTGAAATTTAAATGGGAATAAAAGAGTCATGGTTTTCTTTTAAATACAGTTATCATGGATGTTTTACAAATTTCCAGAATAAACTCAATCCATACAAACACATACTATTGCTATCATTGTTTCAATAAATACCAAAACTGTAATAAACAAATATGGGGCTATAAACAATATTCTACTCTTTCATAAAATGCATACATATTTTTTTCAAAATATATGATATTAAGATACAAGTTTCTGGAATTATAGATATTAAATATTGCCTTCTATGATGAATCAAATGAACCAAAATCATTTTAAAAAATAATCAAAAGAGATAGAATTCAAGTATGGGATGAATGTGGAGAAAAGGGAACTTTTCGGCACTGTTGGTGGAAACGTACAATATAAGTAAGAAAGCTGTTAATCCTTATTTAAGAACTGTCTATATTTTAAGAAAATATAATAGAATGCTAATTATCCAACATGATAGCTATTTTAAATAATTGATATGGGTTTCATATAAATGGTGTTCTCTAAGGAAACTAATAGAAAAATGATTTCTGCTGAATTATCTCCCTTTAAAATTCATATGCTGAAGTACTATTCCCCAGTACTTCCTAATATAACTTTATTTGGAGATAGGTCTTTTAAAGAGCTTTATAAGGTAAAATGAGGCAATTTGGGTGAGCCCTAAATTTAATCTGGCAAGTGTTATTAAAAGAAGACTTTTGGACATCAACAAGGAAACAAGTTGTAATAGAATGAATACTTGTGCCCTCTATAATTTATAAGATGAAGTCCTACCTAAAACCCAATGTGATGTATACATATGGTGCCTTTGCGATATTATTAGGGTTAGATGAGGTCATGAGGGTGAAGTCCTTGTCCAAGGGCATTAGTACCTTTATAAGAAGAAATAACAGTGTTCCCTTCAATAACACTAAAATTGAAAAAAAAATACAGAGATGATTAGAATGGCCCCTGTGCAAAGATAACATTAAAATTCATGAAGTATTCAAAAGAAGGAGAAGGAGGAGATGGAGGATGAAGCGCAGGCAAAGATATACAAGAGAATATATTCTTTCTTTTCCCCCAATGTGTGAGAAGGTAAAGAGGAGAAAACTGTCTACAAGCCAAATCAGCTAGCACCTTGGTCTTGAAGTTTTGGCCACCAGAACTGTGAGAAAATAAATTTCTGTTGTTTAAGCCACTCAATCTGTGCTATTTTGTTATGGCAGCCCTAGCAAACAAATGCAACCAATATTTGTTATGGTATTATGATAATAATGGCTAATTCAAAAAGGAGATGGAGAAAATGAATAATGCATAAAGGGAAATGGTACAGAATGGGAAGTAAACAAGTGAAAAATTATTTCAAATAATGTATTGGGTTTGACTTCATCACCAAGTCAGACTGACTTTTTTAGAAAGGAAAAGTAAGGTCGAAAATTGAAACAATTACATAAAAATGAGAGAGCTAAACCTGATACTAGTTATTAATATGACCAAATTTTATGAAAAATTATTTTCACTTTAGAAAATCACTGTCTGGCCCTGTCTAGTGTGGCTCAGTTGGTTGAAGCATCTTCCTGTGGGTTCAATTCCCAGTCAGGGAACATACCTAGGTTGTGGGTTCAATCCCAGATCAGGGCATGTACATGAAGCAACTAATTTCTCTCTCCTCTTTTCCACCCTTTCTTAAAATAGAGAGAGAGAGAGAGAGAGAGAGAGAGAGAGAGAGAGAGAGAGTTACTGCCTAACACTTTGTGGGGGGGAAAATTCACCTGTTTAAAATTTAGCAAATGGGTATTATTTTAAACTAGTCTTAGAAAGTATAAAATGATCCTGTGTCATATCTATGCATTTTGATAAAAGAAAAATAGTCACAGGTCAATGATATAAATAATATATTCCCATTTTGAAAACTATTCTTAAAATTAGAATAGTTAGAAAAATCTAAGTTATATCCTCAATGACAAGAAAATATAGTATTTGTATCAATTAAAAAGAGAAATCATTGTATAAATAAATATAGATAGTTACTGTATAAAAATTCAAAACTTAAGTTAGCAACAGTGTTAATTATAGAAAATAAGGATTAGGTGCATGAACTATAAATCTCTTATATATTTACAGATACATTTTAAATTTACTTTACATTATATTTTTCTTCTTTTTATATGTAATTAGGGGTCTGTAATTTTATGTTAATAATAAAATTGAGTTTACAAACATGCTCTAAATTAGTCACATATTGAATTGTCTTTAGAAAATGGATTTAAATTTTCTACAGAAATATGAATAAGAGGGAATTTTAGAAATCACATTTTGTGGGAGACCTAATAAATAGAGTGGATTTGCATAATAAGATGATTAATAAATACCAGCTAATGTATGGAGAAAACACCAAATAAATAAAATTGTATCTTAAATTAAATTTAAAAAATCTAAACACCGGGTATTTTATATATGATCCATTTTTAAAAATTGCATTTAACAGCAGTTTTGGTTTTTTAATGTTTTATGTACTTAAATATTTATACACAGCAATATCCATCTTAACAAAACTGAAAATAAAGGACTCACAATATGCTGAAGTAATAATTAATAAATAAAGTTAGTTGGCTATTTAGTATCTTTCAAACTAAATGGACTTAAGGGGGCTTTATATTCAATATGCCAAACCTGTATTCAGAAAACTATTGGACATTGGAAAAGGAAACAGAGAAAAATACAAACAAGTGGAAGCATATACTGTGTTCATAGGTTAGAAGAATTTACATCATTACTACACAAAGCAATCTATAGATACAATGCAATACCTATTAAAATATAACAGCATAGACAGTTAGATACCACAGGAGTTCCAGGGACTGGTAGATCAAGCTCTCCTCGGTGGGGAACCCCTGCTACTACCTCAGGCACTCCCAGGCTGGCATGGCTTTGTTTCAGAGCCCACACTATTTTGTAGAGGGAAGCAGCCAAGACCAGGAGCACAGCCACACCAATACCCTGACTGCCCTGGGACAATACACCCAGACCTGTTGAAGGAGCCGCTTGCCAGCCATAACCCATGTGGAACCACCACCTTGTCCCGGCAGTGAGTAATATGGTTGCCTTGCCCAGGCTCCTAGACATCTTCAGTGAATGCATGCCAGAGAGACCTCCCAGACCCAGCATAGCAGGAATCTGTGCTTTAGGACCCAGTGTTTTGAGTGGAAGCCAGGGGTACCCCAATGCCCCTCCCCATCCCCAGCCCCAGGACAGAGCTGTTGGCCTGCATGCTCCATCTCTGGCCCCAGGACAGAGCAACAGGTACAATCCAATGGGCCCAAACACAGGCCACAGGACCACACTGCAAGTGCACTGCCAGAGGGACCTAGGGTGCCATCCTACCTTGGGTGCGGGGGCCACACAGTGAATTGCATGGCAGAGGGATCTGGGCCTTCACAAGGACTCACACACCAGAGAAACTGTGTATGCTCCCCACCGACATCTAGTATCTGAAGCAGACAATTGAGGGACCAGAGCCATGGGAGAAGGGGGTACAACTCAGCAGAGACAATGAAGGTGTGAAACTCAAGGCAGACCTAGCCTCCAGGCTAACCAGTCCCAGACTATTGGGCCAGTAGTGGCTTCAACCTCTCAGATCCCAAACAGGGTGCCCAGGGCCAGAAAGAGACAGTAAAATGGGGAGACAAAGAAACAATCCCCAAAGGAAAAGAAAAGAAGCAATCACCAGAAAAGGAACTAAATGAAATGGAGACAAGCAATATTTCAGAGAAGAAATCAAACTAATGGTGAAAAAGATACTCAACCGTTTGGCTGAGAATTTCACCAACATATGCAAGAATCAAGAGGAAATGAAGAATGATATAGCTTCAATAAAGAACACAATGGAAGATTTCAACAGTATAGAAGACACAGAGAACCAAATTAGCAAGTTAGAAGACAGAATATAAAAACTCCCAATCTGAACAGCAATTGGAGAAAAAAATTAAAAAGCAGGAGGAGAGTCTCAGGGAGCTTTGGAATAACATGAAACGAAGTAACATCCACACAATAGGGGTGCCAGAAAGACAAGAAGAGAAGCAAGGATTAGAAAACCTATTTGAAGAAATAACGACAGAAACTTCCCTGACTTGGGGAAGGAAAACATCACACAAGCACAGTGAGTCCCAAACAAGATGAACCCAAGAAGACCCACATCAAGACATGTCAAAATTACAATGGAAAATGTTAATTGCAAAAAAGAACCTTAAGGGCTATGAGAGAGACAGAAAGTTACCTACAAGGGATTGCCCATTAGACTATCAAATGATTTCTCAACAGAAACACATCAGGCCAAATGGGAATGGAATGAAGTATACAAAGTGATGCAAAACAAGGGACTGAATCCAAGAATACTCTATCCAGCAAGGCTATCATTCAAAATTAAAGGGGAAATCAGGAGCTTTGCAGACAAAAAAAAAAAAAAAAAAAAAAAAAAAAAGGCTAAGGAAGTTTATTACCACCAAGCTAGCAATGCAAGAAATGCTAAAGGGACTGATGTAAAAAAGAAGAAATAGAAGGAGAATAAGGAACACAAGAATAAAAATGGCAACAAATAAAGTACTTAGCAATAATAACCTTAAATGTTAAAAGGATTAAGTGCTGCAATAAAAATATATAGGGTAGCTAAATTGATAAGAAAACATAACCCATATATATGCTGTTTACAAAACAACGACCTCATAACAAAAGATTCACACAGACAAAAACTATGGTACATGTATGGAATACTATGGTACAGTGGAATACTATGCTTCTGTAAAAAAGAAAGAACTCTTAACACTTGCAACAGCATGGATGGACCTACAGAGAATTATGTTAAATAAAATAAGCAAGTCAAAGATAACTATCACATGATCTCACTCATTTGTGGAATATAATGAACAAAAACTGATGAACAAAAATAAATCCAGAGACACAGAATCATTGAACAGACTATAAAACCTTAGAAGGAAGGCAGTGGAGGGCATGTGGGGTGGGGCGTGAAGGTGGTGATGAGAGATCAAACAATGGGAGAGGGGGTGAAGGCTGGATCTGGGGGGGGCAGGCTGGAAGAGGACAATGGAGGTTTATGGGACATTTGTAATACTTTCAACAATAAAGAATTAAGGATATTGAGAGAGCAATACCTACTGAATGACCTTTAGCAAATAGAATTAGTGTACTTATGGCTGCTGCCATAAGGGTGAAATCTTTTAATTTTCATGAGCCAGGAATTCAATGGATAAATACTTTAAAAACCTATTATATCTAGAAAATCAGCATGTACTTTTAAATTACTCTTGTTATTTTAGTTAATGAAAGCCATTGCAATAAAAATAAATAAAAATAAAATATAAAACAGCATATTACAGATCTAGAACAAATATTCCAAAAATTTACCTGGAACCAATAATAAATCATGAATAGACTCAGCAATCATGAGAAAGAACAATAAAGTTGAAGGATCACAATTCCAAATATCACATTATACTACAAAGTCATTGTAATAAAAAAACCACCTACTATGGGCACAAGAACAGGCATATAGACCAATGGAACAGAACAGAGACCCCATTGACCACCACCATTATGGTCAATTAATATTTGACAAAAGAGACAAGAGCATACAATGGAATAAAGACAGTCTCTTCAATAAATGGTGTCAGGAAAACTGAACAGGTACATGCAAAAAAATGAAACTAGACCACCAAATTACACCATATAGAAGAATAAACTTAAAATGGATAAAAAACTTATATATAAGAAATGAAACATAAAAATCCTAGAAGAAAACATAGGCAGTAAAATCTTTCATATCTCATGTAGCAGTATATCCACTGATACATCTCCTTGGGCAAGAAGAAGTAAAGAAAAAATAAACAGATGGGGCTACATCAAACTAAAATGCTTCTTCACAGCAAAATCATCCAGCATTAAAATAAAAAGGGAAGCCACTATAGGGGAGAACATATTTTCCAATGATGCATCTGATA